GAAAAAGGGGGTGGGGTGGAGTAGGGCAGATCAACCCCCTCCCCACCCCATGGTGAAGGAGGGGACAAAGGCTGGGGTAGGTGCTGCCCAGCCAGGGCAGGCTGTAGGACAGCCCATGGCTCGTCAGGAGTGGGGCACTGCTTCCTCCGCTATGCATACTCCAGAGGGACAAGGGGGGTGTGCCCCTGGATCTGCATGGGGCAGGGTGGGATGGGCAGGATGCAGCTGCGGGCTGAAGTCAGGGCTGCACTGGGTGTTTCTCCCTGGGGACTGGGCTCAGGGCAGAAGCTAAGGAGGGGGCTACAGCCACCCCAAATTTCACCCTAGCTCTCTCCCAGTGCCACCACATGCCCAACACAGCCCTGGCTCTTCCCAGCTCAACCCCTGCCTTCCCCCACATGCTGGGAAGAGCCAGGGATGCACCAGGCACGCAGCAGCGCTGGGAGGGAGCTATAGCAAAATCTGGGGTGACTACAGCTCCCTCTGTAGCCCCCACCCCAAGCCCAGGTCCCAGCAAGAAAGCCCAGCGCAGCCCCAGCCCGCCTGCCCTGCCCCACGCAGAGCCAGGGGGCACACCCCCCCACATCAGACCCTGCCAGGGTGTATGCAGCAGCAGGAGCCACCCTCCCCCAATGAGCCGCGGGTCCGTCCTGTGCCCTGCCCCACCCGCCCTGGCTGAACAGTGCCTGCCCCTGCCCCCTCCCTCACTGGGGGCGGTGCTTGATCTGTCCCCCACACACCCCTTCCCCTCCCCTCCCACCACAACAGACTTACCAGCTGGAAGCAGCTCTCCAAGCTGCTAGGCTGTGCTCTTTGCTGCCTGAGTGCTGCACTGTGGCTGCGCACACGCATGAGCATTTATTGGTTAAATTATTGGCCCCATCAGGCCAATTTTCAATACAGCCAATTTTCTTTATATAAGTACCAATCTGATACTGAACCAATGTATCACTGCATCTCTAGTTCTCAATATTTTCAACTCAAGGCACCCTTAGAAAATGCTAGCTCTTGACTTTCACTCATTTTTTGACTACAGAAAAATACTAAAACATTTGTTCTGTTGCACAGAACTCAAAAAAATTGCAACAGGTCAGAAAGTTTTCAACACTATGGATTCCTATTTGAAATCTCTAGGTTTATCTTCTGAATCACATATAAGTTTGCAAATCTAACCATACTGATATTGCATAACACCCTTATAAGGATCTCACAGCTCCTCAGTGTGCCACACCACCATGATCATGAATCACTGCCTTAATGTGCCTTAAATCACATTTTATGTGAGGCACTAGGAGTATGGGCAATAATACATTTTAACCACTTTAAAAGAGGAAGTTGCTGCTTGGGAGCACGCTTCAGTTGCTACACTACAACTGTTACATCTGCATAATCCTGTAGAGATAAAAGTTAACTAAACCACCCCAACTTTGACCTTATTAAGGAGGGTTAAAATTGGTTTTGCTACACTTTTATCACTAGAGAATTATGCAGATGTCACAGTTGCATGGAAATAACAAATAAGTCATATCTGAAACCTTTAGTATTGATGCAATTTTTACATCTGTCTATACCCGAAGACAGGGTGCGACTCCATTAGAGACATTTTAAAAAGATCTTGCCTTTAATTTAAATATTCCCATGCAAATTACTTTTGTAGGATGCAATAAAGGGGACAGTTGGTACTAAATTACTTAAATTCTACAACCCCAAATCTCATAAGAGCTACTTCTTTATATGGTAAGCTTAAATCAAAGTTTTTACAAGCTAGGTGACATGTACACACATTCCAAGGTCACCTAATCTGTTTAGCTTACTTCCTCTTGCACAGCAATCTAGATTCTTTTGTCTTCATTAAAAGATAAAAAGGTACTGTCAAAATCATTTGGTTTTCTCTGCCCTTGTTGCAATTAGCAAATAAGTCACATTACCAAATCACTGTTAATTAGTGTGATTTAATGATGCTGTGATAATTCATAATATTATGACCAATTAAGTGCATGTTAGCTATATGCAGTTTTCAGTTATAAACCAAATTACAGATCTCTTTTTTGAGGCAGTTCAACAACAGTACCAAATCTGCTACCTGCCACTTCTTTATCAACATATTTTAGTACAATTATCAGGCGTGATTCAGTTTCTAAACTGTTTTTATTACATGTTAAGGATAGGACAGAACAACATGATGCTTGTGGATTTTTAAAGGCATGTTCTATGAGCATGCAGTACAAATCAGCACAAAACCCTTAGGCATTGTTATAAACCTGCAAACCTTATACATAATTTATACAAGGTATGGCAGAGCAGATTTTGGCTATTATCCAGATGCATGATTTCACATGCACAATTCAAGAGCTGGATGAGTGCCTGCCTCAAGCAATTCAAAATCATTTGCAGCCTGACCAGGGAAACATTAGGCTATAATAGGCACAGTCATAGGGACATGCTTTCAATATTAAAAAAAAAAAAAGAAGCATCTGTACTGATTCCCTCCCTTGAAATAAGCACTTTCAGCTGAAGAGGAATAAATCTAAGCCAAACATTGCTGCAGCATTTTCTCTTTAGGAAAATTACCAAATATGCAGGTTATTTATTATCATTTTGGCACTACTCCTAGATAGAGCAACTCCAGTGAAGAAGTTTCAAGAGCTTCTCCAGTCTTATCGTAAGAGATTGCTATCCTATTAACACTGTACATGTAACTCTGCAGAGTTAATGAGAGAAATGCATTCACATAACTTCTATGCATATAAAATCCACAATACTACATATGCTCAATATGCCTTTTAAAAGATTTGAAACAAACTAATTTAAGATCAATGTTCATCCCAATGTTCATCCCAGTTACAGCAAAGAAAAGTTTTACTAATGCTGCTAATTCTTTCAAAAATTCCACAAGATGTCTTAAGTATAACCAACACGCTTACAACAGAATCTTCAAGGCAGTGTAGTCACCCAAATATCCCTTTCATATTCCAAGAAAACAATTCTCTCTCTACAAAAGCTTGTGCTACATATATGTGTGTGTGTGCGCACGTGCACACACTTTGGTTAGTTTTTAAGGTGCAAATCTACTCTGCTTTCTACTTGCCTTAGCATGAGCAAGGCTCAATTAATATTTGGAATCAGGAAATGATTACAGATAGCCATGTGCTTACTTGCTAGTAATTTACTGAGATTTGAATGCAATTGAGTAAGCTCTTACTAATGTAAAACTGTTCAAATACCATGGTTAATTTGATTTTATCTTACTTAAATCAAAGAAAACAGAGCAGGTCAGGACTGGGACAAGAAATGGGATAAAGACCTAAAAAACTGGAATACACAAATCCAAACCAGCATAAGGCTTTTTTTTTTTTTTTTTTTTAAATCAACTGAGTAGGACTGATTTTTAAATTAGAAATAAACCAAACTCTATTGCCATAACTTCAGTTACTTTAAGGGTATCGAACAAATTTGGAGAGAAGAGAAATGCTGACATAAAACAAAATGGTAGTAACATATAGGGGCTTTTTTCCCCTCAAAGATTCCATAAATTTATTACTATGCAGAATTAGGTAGAAGAGATTTAACAAATTTTACCACTAAAGTTAATAACTGAAACACTGCACTGACAGGCAGTAGGTTGACCTCCCTCATGAATCTGAAAATACAGAAATGTACTTTCAATATAAAACAATTAAAATATGTAATAGAATTGCTACATTATATATAAACAAACACACACACACACACACACACACACACACACACACACACACATATATATATAAAAACACCAAGAGATGATGATTGTATTATCTTTGCATGTATATGTCCACATCTTAGAGACATAACCTCAAAGAATTTTTAATCCAAATGTGAACTGAAAGCTATGTTCTCAAGGCATGAGGCAGCCTTATTTTGGGAACACTCTAAGACTGCGGGAAGATGTGGTTTGCAGGGAACCATGTAACTACAACATTTATTTCAAACTTGGATAATGCCTTTTTTTTTTTTTTTTTAATACACAAGCCTAGCATACAGAGAAAGTAAAAGAGTATTTTCCAAGAACTCATCCCTATTGAAGAAGAACCCAGCTAATTAAGAATCTGTTTGATTCAATTACAGCTTCATGTCAAGCTCCCAAAAGACAGAGATACATTGATAAGGCCTTTTGAAAGTGAGAAAACTAGACTGCAATTATGTTCTACAAGACTCCTCTTCAAAGAGCAGAGCTTCCCAAAGGAGATTTTAGCACGGTTCTCTCAGCTCATGTATGTGACCCAGAACCAGAGCACATCATATAAGCACTCACAGTTTAACTCTCTAATCTCAAGACTTGAAACAGAAGGGGAAGAAAAGTGTGTGTGTG